CTTTTTTGGGGGTTTGTTTCTGTGGCTGGACTGACCCGCTTTCTCCGTTTGTCCTTCTGTACTCTACTCTCAACCCCCCCATCCTCACTCCTGGCTCTCTCTTGGCCCCATGATCCAGAAACCAGAAACTCCATAAACATAAACAGGTCATGATCGCTGGGAATGAAAGCACATTAATGGCCAGACCACCTCCAAGCTTCACAGCATGGCCCAATAATTTCAGGAAGGTAGTCAATCAAACCACTAATTCTATGGTGTTGAGTGTGACAATTGTAAAGTATAAGTTGTTAAAATATATCCAAGGGGCTGGAAAAGCAGGAAGGTTTCCCTCCACAGTGGAACATTAATCAATTTAGCACTTCTGCCAACATAATGAGGTCACAAAATGTTCACTTTATCACAATAGAGCACAATTATTTATTAAAACAACCTGTGTTGACTTGTAACAAATGCTTTCACCCACTCTTTAAATGGGCTTGTTCCTATTTAAAGGGTCAGTTCACCCAAATTAATAAAAACAATCTGCTTTCCAGTGGTAGCTAACCATACAGAAAAAAACAACAACATATATCTATAGACTTCATCTGTAATCTTGTGTCCATTTGTGTTTATGTATGTTTTACTGGTGGATTGTAGCAACATAACAAAGAGGAAAGTACATCTAGTTACTGAAGATGATCACTTTCCTACTTAAAGAGAGAGGATATGCTGTTTTTTTGAAAAAAGCATGTTTCTCCATACGTACTTGAATAGTGCTTTCAAGTTTGGGGTTGTTTGTTGTCTTTCATTTTCCTCTTGAGATTTGCTTTAATGCTGTGATTCTCAGTTTCCACAAGGATTCTACTTGTATGGCACCTTTCTAGTCTTCCGACCATTCAAAGCGCTTTACACTATGTGCCATGTTCACCCATTCACACACATTCATACACTGATGGCAGTGGCTGCAATGTGAGGTGCTAACTGCTCATCAGAAACGGAAACTAAGGGACACATTCATACGCTGATGACACAGCATTGGGAGCAATTTGGTGGTTCATTATCTTGCTCAAGGAGGAGGAGCCAGGGATCAAACCGAAAACCTTCTCATTAGTGGACGACCCGCTCTACCTCCTGGGCCACAGCCGCCGAAACTACTTTCTATGGAAGAAATAGTCTCATTCATTAAGATGTCTCTCCCCTCCTTATAACGAGTTAAAAACATCTGTTTCAGGATGTTTTTTTTAAATTTATGAATGTGTGCTCTATATTTATTTATTCATTAGTCATTTGTGTGAGATGGACACTGGTTGTGTTTGTATCGCATATCCCTAAACTTTATAGAAGCGGAATACAAACTGCTAACTAAAGTACTGCTTACATGTTAATTCATCAGTAACAGTCATCCAATACAGTACTGAAGGGTGTTATTCTGCATAATGACTGCAATGATTATTTTTACTATATTATGACACCTTTTATTAAGTGACAATTTGAATGTAATTATGTATTTCGTCACTACTGCTGCTTTATCTGAATGTTGTAGTTAATTTAGATGAGAATTAATAATTTATATACTGCTGGGTAGTGGCTTTGTATGCAAAACTTCAATTTGCAAAGTAATTATGGTCATAATATAAATTGGTGGAGTAAAAAGTACAATATTTACCACTAATATGTAGTAGAGTACAAGTATTAAGTGCCAGAAAGTGGTAATAATGAGGTACCATAACCTCCAAATGGTCCTTAAATGTAAACTCTCCACCACTGGAAGCTTGTCGACAAGCCTTACATTAGAAATATAGACTGACATATACTGTACATGCATACATATATCCATACGTGAGTGAGCATCTGTATGTGCAACCCCCTTCCTGTTTGACCCACACCAGTCTTTCCACCGAGGGGAGGTACAGCACAGAGTTCTCCCTCGTGGGAGGAGAGGAGTGTGTGAGCAACCACCATGTCCACCGTCTTCCTGTCACATTACCATACGCTCCTGCAGTAGGACTGCTAATTACGTCTGTGTGTGACAGCCGCACTGCCAAGGTGGTGAGAACAAGACGGCTGGGAAGTGGAGGACGAGCGGGGTGGGGGGGCGACTTCTCATGTGAGCGTATGAGTGCGAGAGTTAGACACGGAAAAGGAGGTAATTTTGTTGTAATTCTTGCTTGATTTCACTGTGAAGGGTGAGTGTCTTTCATCACATTTGCTTCTGAGTTTGTTTGATTTTTCACAATTTAGGATGCTGATAATTGGACAGTAATGTTGGCCCAAGGTGGAGGGGGTCACCATATTATTCTTTTGTTTAAAAAGCTCAGACAAAACTAATTGGATTTTAATGACACTTCTTCACATGATGCACCTCACCACTCCTCCATCATATCAGATGAAGTGGGACACTATAGCTAAGCCAGGGCTGCCAATCCAGAGCCATTTTTTATTTATTCAGTGACAGCCTGACATGGTTGTGTACTGCTATTTTTATAGCTATTCTGGTGCGCAGCCCAGTCAGTGGTCTATTGGAGTTTCAGCCTCCGGAGGTGAGTCTCAAACAAGCTCACACAGAGCAAAAACTGGTAAAATGTGAGTGAAGGAGAGTCTAGCTGTGATATTCCTGTGATATTCCTCGGGCTACACAGCTCTCTGGGGTTTTGCAGAGCCTCTGAGCTGTGGGAGAAGGAAGAGCAACAGGAAGGAGAGATGACAGTTAGTCACCTCTGAGACGAAAACAGACTGAGAAGATCTGAGACCTGGTCTCAAATGGCACTTGACAGTTTAACACTATATGCTCTCTCACTTCCTCTCTCTCTCTCTCTGTCCCTAATGCATGACTTCTCTATCATATGTGTGTGCCGCTGTATTTTGAGATTTCCGAGACTTCCTGTCTCTATTAAGAGGCTGTTGTACAGTAAAAAAAAGGGACCTTATTACCCTGATCTTCACCTTATTGCACCAGCTCCCTGTCCATTATCAAATCAAACTCAGAATATTAGAACTCGTCTTAAAGCCCGGCATGGTCTTGCACCTGCTTACATCACAGGTCTACTTTTTCCCCACAGCACTTTCAGTCTCTTTGGATCTTCCATCCAAGCTCTGTTATTACACAGTCCCATGTGATGCATCGACACCATTTGATTCAACCCAATGCGATTCAATGCAATACGATGCTTTGCAAGGAATTGACAATTGTCAGTTGTCAAAAAACAATTCAATATGGTACAGATAGTTTGATTTCTACCTTCTTTCTGCTTGTAAAACAGTTTTGAGAGGAGGAATCAATCTAAATACAAAATTATTGGTCACATATTATTGGTCACATTAATAAATAATAAAGGCTACTGATAATATTTTAAAAATCGTTACCATTAAAAGTTACAGATGCAGAAATGCAGTTCATCCCAAATTGTATACAATGCACACTTTTTAAATCAGTACAATCACATCTTGAACTTTTATTACCCCATTAGTAGCAGACTTCTAGGTGTAAACTAGGTTTAATTTAGTATAAAACTATTTTTTGAACTATAGTAATTTAAAGGCTGTTGAAACAACAATTATGTGCAACTTAAATGTCTAAAAACATTCAATTTCAACTAAATTTGACCCAGTTTTGTATTTGACCCAGTTTTGTTTTGTTTGTCTAGACATCTTTTGTCCTTCAAATCACCAACTCATTGCTTTGTTTACACTTGTTACTCTTGATATAAATGCATTTTGCCATTACTAGCTGACTTCTCAGTTAGGGTTAAAGGTTAATCTACAAAAAGATCATTATTATGTCGTACCAGTTGATGATTTCTGCTCTTTGTGTCCCTCTTACACTCTACAATAGTCCTTCTTCTCTCATCTCAATAACCTACTTTATGTGAATGCTATTTGAAGGACATGGGTTCAGCAAGCTCTAATAACTTCCATCTTATCTGTCAACACACACGAAACCACAGCGAGATGGTATGCAAATGTATGCTAACACACAGACACATACAACATTGGACCACCCCTCCTTGACAGAAAGGGAGCAGCAGGACTGAGTGTTTGCAGTTTGGAGACACGTGAGACACCAGATTGAGGCTGAATATGGACAGTAAAAGTACACACTGTAATATAAATATTCATGGTAACCGTTCCTTATACGACACCATTCTGCATCTGCATCTTTATTAGTTTAGGGTGCAAGTGTGTATTTGACAGCTGCGTGTTATATCCATCATTCCCAATCAAAAAAAGATTTATAACTTTGTTTGCTATATGTTAAAAAAAACTCTAATGGCATGCATTTCGTCAATTTACATAGATTCTTAAACATGTCATAAAGCAGATTCAAGTGCCATTGTCCAAGCATAGCTCACCTTTAAAATGTAGTCCTTTCTTTTCATCCCATTTGTCACTTCTCGTCAACTTAATTGGTTTTGCAAGGCCGTTCCAGTGTGTTGCTTACGTGACTTTTAACGGTGATGTTTTTACGAGTCATAGTATGCTTATTGAACAAGAGGACGGATTATTTAAAGTGCACCGTCCTAGTAGTGGCAAAGTTTCATCCAAATTTAAATGTTCTGCAGCAGTCACAATGTTAAAGGTGCAGCTAAATGATGAGCAGCAGACGAGTTAATTTGAAAACCTTTTAGTTAGTGTGCTTCTTCTAGTAAGTAATTTCCCCACGGGGATTATTAAAGTATTTCTGATTCTGATTCTGATTCTCTTGTGGGAGAAACTTCAAGGCCGTACTCAGATGTTCATTTGCTAATTTATTCAAGATATTAAATTCAAGATGTGTCATAATGCATTTTCAGAAGTGGAAAAAAAGAAATAAGATGTCGTTTTGAAAGAAATACATGGGCAAAAATGTAGTATAGTAGCATAGTGAGAAGAAAAAACTGTACTTATAAATTAATTTGACAGCTTACAGCGTCTTTGAGCAAAAGTAGCTCTGGAGTTGCTGCTGCATCATTCACTTTTCACTCCACCATGAAAAAGACTTTCCCCACCTGAATCCTTAAATGAGACTCTCTTACTGTTTACAGGCTGAGGGATCCTCCTTCTTGCAGATGGGAGCGTCTCTGGAGCAGCAGATTGTCTGCATGTTCAAGGTACAGAAATGTGTTTCAGAGTCACACTACATGTAAGTGACCTAGGTTGTCATAACAAATGCTTGTAGGGTCAAGCCCAAGCATGAACCTATCTTGACGTCACCCATTGGTTTGTGGAGTGCCATTGTGAAGTCTCGAGTCCCGCTGTTTTTGGCCGGCACCATGACAATAAAACGGAGCCACAGCGAGCTAGCGAACGTGACGTACTGCAAGTTGATCTACGCTCATTGGCTGTGTAGTCCATAGCCGGAAACAATGCCGGCTTGCCTGGTTAGTTTAGTTAGTACACTAAAGTATGTGAGATTTTTTAAAGTGAGAAATAGGCAATGCAGTAACAGTTTCATATTTGATCTGAGTTTCGTGCGCTGCACTGGATGGATTCACTTCAAGAGTGACCTGTCAATCAAAATGTAGCCCAACTTTATCGTCTATTTTATGTGAAAACTAGCGACTGAGACCCTAAACTCATAAGGAAACTATTTACTGAGCTTATAAATTATGTGTCAAGACAGCTCATTCTCCATTAGAGTGAATGGGATCGCTGTGTTATTGCAGCCAATGGAGCTCCCCCTGTTGTAATTTACATAGAGTGCAGGTTTTAAGACACTTCCGTGTTGGCTTCACTTTTCAGACCCGGAAGCTCCTTTTATTATATATACAGTCAATGGTCAAGCCTGACAAATGACAAATGGCAGCTCTCAGGCTGATTAACACAATGTGAGGACATCCCAACGATCAGTGGGGGAATCCCTGATCTAATGTTCTGGCCCGATTTCCACTACACTAATCTGTATTTATGATAGATTGTTCAAATTCTCATGAGATGGGGGTCAATGGGATAATCTCAGTTAAGTCTGTGATAACGTTACATCATCATCTAGTGGGAACATTTCCACAATGTGAGAGACATCCATTGGGAAATTGACAGGTATATTTGTGATGAAATGTGTTAAAAAAAAATACAATTTAGGATCTGACATGGTCAATCCCAACATAAGACTCAACGCATCTTAAAGAAACTAACAGCAATTGCATGTAATATAGCGTTAAATAGTTAGCTATAGAGCCAGCAGCCGGTTAATTTAGCTTAGCATAAAGAGTTAAAACAGAAGGAAACAGCTAGCGTGGCTCTGTCCGAAGGTAATAAAATCTAACCACTAACACCTCTAAAGCTCACAAATTAACATGTTATATCTCATTTGGTTAATCTGTACAAAAACTGAACCAGACTTGATATTGCTCGCTGTTTCCATCTGTTCCCGTCTCTTTATGCTAAGCTAAGCTAACCACCTGGTGGCTCCAGCTACCATCAGTAATTCACAATCTTATATTTGCACTTATTCATTATTACTACTTTTTTACCTTGGGTATTATTATTATTATTTCCCTGTTTCAGCTGATGGAGGAGTATGACTGGGGCGAGTTTGCAGTGATCACCAGTTTGCTGCCGGGCTACGACACCTTTGTGGATATAGTTGAGTCCTACACAGATACCTCGTATTTCCTGTGGAATCTACAGGATGTCTTGTCTCTGGAAATGTCTGTTGGGTCTAACGATGCGAGGACCAAACGCATGCTGCAGCAGGTATAGTCCGATATAAGAATCCTGGATCAGTTTGCACCGGATACTCTTAAACCCATCACCAAGTTTGTGCATAAACTCCTTAAATTGTTAGTAACTACGAGCTAGTTTCAAGCTTTAATAAACTGGGTAGCACCCTTAAAAATGGAAAAATTTTGTAATTTTATTGGTGCGTCTAAAGCAATCAACTTCACAAATGTAGCATCACTAGCTAACATACCTGTTTTAGAGCATCAAACTACATTACATTAATCAGATATGTCTATATGTTTTAAATGTTACTTTGACCATGTTATATTTACATCTCCATGTATATGTTTTAAAGATAGTAGCATTCTGATTAATGTCATGCGAGCCTAACCAGTCATTTACCATTATCGACATACTATGGATAGAGTTACTTAATTAATTCTTCCCACTTTACATATTTTTTTAGGCAATTTGATAAAGTGTCAAATCAGATATGCCCATACATGACCGTACAATTTTACTCTTCAACATAAATGAGTAATATGCTAGCAAGCTAACGCTGTGCCAGTTCATTCAGTCAGGCAACAGTTACACTGGCAGTTACAGGGTGTAAATATTAGGTAACAACTAAATATCTTTGTAAGAACTAGTTTGTGTGACAAACAATTTGAATTTAATGTTTTAATTGCGTCACTTTGATTTAGCGAAACTACCAAAAACTTTAGTTTGAACTGTGGAAAAGTTGGTACATGTTCAGGCAGTGATTTCTCTCTGTTCTACAAGTTTCCACTAACAGATTTTTTCTGTCTGCAGGTGGACTCTCAGGTCCTGCTGGCATATTGCTCCTATGAGGAGGCGCAGTACTTGTTTCGTCAGGCAGCTGAGGTGGGTCTGCTGGGGCCAGGCTACATCTGGATTCTCCCCAGTCTGGCCGTGGGCAACCCCGACAGCCCTCCACCTGACAGCTTCCCTATCGGTGTTATTGGAGTGATTACGGACCAGTGGAGGAAGAGCTTGCGGCAGAGGGTGAGGGAGGGTGTCGCCATTGTAGCAAAAGGCGCCGAGAGCTTCAAGAAGCAGTACGGTTTTATTCCTGAGGGACATGGTGACTGCAACAAGCCGGCAAAACTCTCAGACAACAATACTCTGTTCAGGTAGGAGGCATATTTTTGTTCCAGACATTTACTGATGCTTGGACGGAAGAGCACAGCTTCAGCTTTCACACTTTTCTCATGACTTTACACACACACATTCATGCAAGACGTGAAAGTATTTTGCACCTCTTTTGCACATGGTCTGAAATTCAAATGAACCTTGATTAAATGTTCACAGCCTAGTCTGTTATGGATGTATAGCTACCATAAGAGACAGCAAAATCACTCAGTAGGAATACCTTTTCCCTCCACCAATCAGCTGCTTCTGTCATCCCCTAATGAGCTACTTCCAGTACCCCCACGTTAGCCCTCTCAGGGGAGCTTTCGGCTTAATTAGGAGGTGATCATTGTGTGTGTTTATCTGTTTAAATGAATATGCAAATTATCGTGTGATGTAGAATCAAAGTCCTTGATTGCATACTACACACTTTCTTCTGACTTTATGTTCTCGTGGGTTGCAGAAACATGCTGAATGTGACATGGGAAAGGAAAGATCTGTCATTCAACAACCAAGGCTTCCTCTCCAACCCTTCGATGGTCATCGTTGCTCTGGATCGGGAGAGACTCTGGGACAAGGTACTGGGACACCAGAAACTGAATCACAAAGACATAATGGCACTAAGTATGTGCACACATACTGCAAGCACAGAGTAGAGTTACAACTGTACTAGTAAACCATAAATCCGACATTTTTAGGGTTCAGGTTAGTTTTAAAGGGAACAGCTTTAGGAGCATTACAGTTTGAGTCTGTTAACAACAGCTATTGGCCATATAGTCCTCCATTTGACCTCCATTTTAGTATGTATTATTTTTATTTTTGTATAAATCCAAATGTATTTGACAAGATGTCATGTTGACATCCTAACGCGTTTAAAAGCACTTTAGGTAAAAGCCCTAAATGCAGTCTGTTTAGAGCGATAACCGCAAAGAGGTTACAATGGCAGGACTGAAATTTCAACTTTAAATATCAGAATGTCCTTGACTCAGAATCAAAAACACATATCATATTTTTTCTGGACAGACCTGAAATTATGGACCCAAAATAAACCACCCCTGATCCATCCAAACTACTTATCAGGTTTGTGAGTGATGGGGTCCAACATGAACACACTATTTTGCCAAAATGAGAGATTTCTGTTGGAAAAAAGTGATGTGATGCACTACCATGGACCAATTAGGATTTAGCAATATTATTACTATTATTAATATTGTTACCCTGCCAGAGATCAGATCACACCCACACAGTCCTGATGAAGCAGATTAACTGAGTTTTTGAGACTCATAATGAAAAACATTTAAGGATGTTTTCTTTCAAATTTCAACTTAAATATTAGTAATATTGCAGAGAATGATGCTAAACACCAGGCACACAAATGATGGGTCAACTAATAATGCATTCACTTCAACAGTGATATAAAGACATGGTCTGTCGGCCGCTGTGTATATCAGCCTTTCCATTATGACTGATAAACTTACTGATCAAAATCTTAACATAAGGACATAAACAGCTGTAAAGTAACTGTCACCCAGCATTAGTTATCCAAGCGTCACACCCACACAGACAAAATCTTTACACCTCCGTGCGGATGAATCAATCCCTAAAACAATTGTAATGCTCAGCCTGCGAGCAACTGTTAAAACACATCTACATTGAAGTATAGTTTGTACTTTACCTACGCCAGGAGGCTTTCAAAGTCCGTAACGCTGCTTGTTGCTATCGAACGAGGAGCCCCGTGTTTTTAGCTTAGATATGTTTACATTTGCACCATTAAAAGCATGCTAAATTAACTATTAGGAGTTCCTGTCTACAATGTATCCATGGATGTACAAACAACTATCACTGGATAACTTTGATACTGAAGAAAACTTTTAAATGTGATGATTCTCAGGCCAGTTCGGGAGTTATAGGGATCATCTTTTTTTCTATCATCTCTAAATGGATTTATTTACTTTTATTACAATGGACATCAGATATAAAGATATCCTTGGAAAGTGTAACTAACACTGAATCAAAAACTGTGTGTATCCTGCCTGTGCGTTCAGATTTGACTCAGATGACTCAGGTGTAAATTAAAACAATATAGTAAAATGTTCCTCCATGAGCCGTGTGTCCCAGCCACTGCTGCTACTCTAACTGTGCTGACCGTGTTGGTGAATTGGCCGAATCAGCATTGCGAAGTCTGCCTGGGGAGCTGCACCTCACAGTTTGCAAACCTCTGACCTACAAATATAATCTGGTTGGATGCAACAAATTCATTCCTGTTGCACTGGAGATGTCAGCATGCATTTTGGAAAAAGCTGGTAATAAAATTGGAGTGGATTCATTAAAAAATCTCAAACAATTGATCACAAAATAACTCCCAGCATGCTCTGAACATTACCAATAGGTGATATTTGAAGGTACAAGTGTTGGCGTGATTTCAAATCAATAATGTTGTGCGTCTGTTTCCTGTTGAAGCCTTATTCTTCTCTTACAGTACTCCTGTTTCCTTTTTCACCATGCCCTGCAATTTTCTTTAGTATTTTCACTCCCTTTTACACACACACACACACACACTTTTCAAAGCCTGGGGGTGTATTGAAAAGTGCGACTAAACAGAGAGACCTGAATGTAATCTCACAGCTACAGTTGAACTCATTTATTTCTACTCTGGAAAGACCAACCTACTTTATCAATGTCACCTCTTGGCTGGTGTGTGCGTATGAATGTGTGTGTATGGACATGGACATGTAATTGTGCTGAAGTGGGGTTCGGTTTGTATGTGTGTGTAAACCTTAAAGGCGCACTTGTACAGCCAACATCGTCACATACATTTAGACATTAAGAGCTCATGTTTAAGTGTAGTGTAGATGTCCTGCTGTTCTTCACACACACTATCCACAACAAGACACCTCTTAAAACAAGATGCTGTCTGCTTTCTCTGAATCCTCTCTCTTTTTCCTCTGTCCTTATTACAACCTGATCTCTCACTACTTCCTCTCCTCTTCTTGTCATGTAGCTCATCCATAATGACGCCTGGTTGTGGTGTACTTGCTCTTTTCAAGTGTCTGTCCTCCATTGTGACACCCTGACAGTTTAACATCATGTTGTTCCTCATCCCCGTCTGAAGGGTGCTGCTGGGTGACATTTTGGGCAGGAAAAATCCCCGTTCTCTGCTGGGCCCCTGTCTGAATTCTTGTTCTTCTCACCGATACTCTTACACCTGTAGAATCAATACAGAGAATAAAAATACTTTAAAATGGCTTAAAGCTGCAGTAATTAATATTTGCATGCATGTACATAGTGAAGAACTTTTTAGCATCTTTAAACTCATCAACCTAATTTCCTGCAGGATCAGGCACCTGCTTTAAGCAAAAAAAAAGCTCTGATAAACCAACTGTATGCTACCTGCCCAGCACCAAACAGCAAATTAGTGGTGAGCTTCTGAACATAGTATTTAGGAGCTAAAGAGCCACATATTTGTCTCCATAGTTGGTGGAGACCAAAAACTGAGCTAAAAGAAGCCTGGATATTGGACTTACATTGATTGGTTGGCCAAATAAATGCTAATGTTGTTCTATGTCTGCTGGATTTGGAAACAGACAACTGTTTTAGGGTAAAATACCATTTAGTGTCTTATCAATACAAAACAATGGGTGTTTGCTTTTGCCCCGTTGCCCACCATTAAGTTCAGGTTTTGTCCCTCCAAGGGACATAGCATGGGCACCCAGACTTAAAGCAATCATGTAACCCACATTTTTGAATGGGCTGAAAACAGACAGACCTTTAATTTATTGGGATGAAGTCTCAGCAGCAGATATCTCAAAACATCACCAAATTCAACTGAAACTATCCGCACAGCTACATACAACTAGAAGAAAATTAGAATTAGCCCTCTGAGTCGGTCCTTAGACAGTAAAAATACAAGATGCTTGTATTGCATTGGTGCGGCCATGTTGCTTCAGGTAGCAGTGAGACGATGAAATACAATCCATAATAAATGAGTGATAAATCCATGACTGTGAAGGCTTATCAGCAGCTACACAGTGGTTGATGTTATTATGAGGAAGGATTTTGCAACTCCAGAAAGTGACAGTCATTTTGTCTTTTGTCACAACAATTGGAAGGTAAACAGCAGCAATAAGGCGTTGATGTGACACAGTAATCCACCAGTAATGTGCGTTTGCTGCACTGCCTTGTACAAAAAAGCTTGAGGGAGGTTCCATGGGTATTTTATCATGAGACATTACATTACATTAATTTGGCAGATGCTTTTGTCAAGAGAGACTTACAATAAGTACATTTAAACCACACAGGAAAAATATATAATCCAAAATTGTTATTTCCTCAGAGATGTTTAGTTTTTTCTTCTTTTAGAAAGGAGACATAAGTGCTAGCAAAGGTTGTTGAGATGTAGTCTGAAAAGATGGGTTTTTAGCTTAGGAACAGAGAAGAGCCTTGACTGAGATGAGCATCCACAGTGTCCTCTGAGTAATGGGACAGCTAACGTCCAGACGCAGAGGTGAATCATACCGAAGAGGCAATGTTCGGTCTGGGCTGTAGGGTTTGACCATGACTTGTAAGCCTGTTTTGGCATCAGTTGATACAAGATAGAGTGCACTGAGAATACAGACCCTCCCATATGAGTAGATTTTTGTTGTTAGACATACGTTGTAATTTATCAACAGTTAGATGACGTCATTTCAAAATCAACTGGGAAGTCCGACAGTAGTCACAGACCATGGTTGAAGGCATACCAGCAGTACGAGGAGCAAAAATCTAAGTGTATCTTTATAAATCAATTAAAGTAATTTCTGCTTGAATTTACAATGAGGCGTGAGTTCTTCTGTAGGTTTAATGTAGAAGTTAAGGCAAAGATTAGGTTAATAAACAACTTTGTAGGTGATGGTTTTTCTACCTTAAACACACATCAGGCACAAAACTGTGTGACACGCGACATAAGGCACTGTGAAGTACCATGTTTTTTAGGGAGTCCCGGTGGGCAGCAGCATTCTGGATTAGCTGTAGAGGTCCGACAAGACCATGACATGATGACATTTTGAGTTTCGTTTCTAACATGAAGTATTGGGGAAATTCCAAGATCCTAATACTGTATTTTAGTCCAGTATCCAATAATCAATAACAGTTTTGGCACCTTCTCAGCAGTGTAGTGAGTGTGAGAATGACAGGTAGATGATAGAGTGTCTGCTTAGGATGATCCCTGAGAGGAGAAGACATATTAGAATCCCATAAAAGACAGATTGAAATGATTGATCTTCACAACTGGCATCTCTGCGATTCTGTCATTCACAGATGGTGCAGAGAAACAAATCCCCGATCTTGCACATCCTACTGTACCTTCATGCAGATTTGTAAATCATCCATGTGTGACGAAGGGAAGATTGCTAGTATGAGTGAACAGAAGAACAGATCAGGAGTTGGTTTGAGAAAGAGGTCTCATTAAAGCTGTGAGGGAGCGAGTTTCACATGCAGTAAGTCAGTGCTGGCTGAGCTCAGCATGGCTCATTAGGTTGGGCTGATGTGACAAACAGTCCTGAATCTCACAGTTTCACTGAGCTTAGTGCCGACATTGATGGGATTATTCATTGTTTGATGTGACATTATACAGCAATTCTGGTCCGAAGTGGCTCCCTCTGACATTAAAAAACTCAATCTACTGCTTTTTAGTATATCTTGTTACAGTATTTCATATGCTGTCAGCATATCTGTTTGTCAATTCTGCTCAGTTCAGGGAGGTTTATTAGCACAAAACCTTTATTACCTTTATTATTATTATTATTATTATTATTATTAAAGCAGTTCTACAAAAGCAGCAAATATTTTAAGCACACAAAAACATAAAAACACTAATCACATGGACAGTTCCCATTTATGAACAGTGACATTTCAATTTGTTTATTCAGATGAAAAAAAGACGATTAATAATTGAATAATCAGTCAACAAAATGAACACAGATTGAAGGGAACACATGCTGGGATGTATTATTAATGGGATGCAGTCGGTTCTCTCTTTGTTTTAGTTTCTGTCTTTTTTGTCCCACTCAAAGACTTTTTTAAGTCTCCTCACTACGCATTAATGAACTCTGCTCTTCTTTCATCTTCTAATCCTCTTCCTCCAGGTCAGCACATGCTAATTTTCCTTTATAAATTAAAATAAAAAAAAGAATCATTCATCCTGTGAAGCAGGGAAAGACAAGACAGGTGAGGAGAGAAGGAGCTGACATGCACAGAAGGTCATGGCTGAGATCCAAACACATGTCCAGTAGTGAAAGAAGTCCTCAGATGTTCTACTTAAGTAAAAATAGTATAGTGTAAAATACTCAATTAAGTAAAAGTAGCTACTTGTTATGCAGAATGGCTTATTTCAGAAAAAAATACAGGCTTATAATTAATGATGCATCGATGTGTAAGCATAAGTAATGTTGCAGCTAACTAATTTTAGCAACTTTAAACACCTAGATCTTATAAAATGTATCATCATTTGTTTGTTTATATTTTGTATTAGTAAACTAATAAGTAACTAGTTATCAAATAAAGTAGTGGAATAAATGTAGTGGAATAAAAAGTACAATATTTGCCTCCAAAATGTAAAGGAGTAGAAGTATACAGTAGCATAAAATGGAAATCAAGCAAGAACCTCAAAACTGTCTTTAACTACATTACTTAAATGTACATTTACTGCACAGACGTACATGATAACATGAGTTCAAAGAATGAGTTCTGTGTCTCCAGGTGGGTACGTTCGCTCGGGGGATCCTTCAGGTTCGCTACCCAGTCTGGCCTCGATATGGCAGCTTCCTGGAGCAAGTGTCTGATGACCGTCACCTAACCGTGGCCACACTGGAGGAGCATCCCTTCGTCATGGTCGAGAATGTGGACCCAGGAACTGGCACGTGTGTCCGCAACACAGTGCCCTGCAGGCGCCAGTCCAATCGCACAGAGAGGTACACCCAGCAGCACAAACACATGTAACGTTTGCATATTTATGCAGATGTAAACATACAGACAACACTATAGACAACAACTATAACAACAATCAAAGCTCATTGTATTTTACACTGTGCGAGATGGGTCTAATATAGCCTGCGTCAGACTTCACAACATCTGCAGTGGGACCAACACATTTCCTCTTGTGGCCTTCATCAAGGTCACCCATACTGCAAGCTGAAACATGTTGGTCTTAAAATAAAATAGTTTTTTATGCTACAAATGAGGAGGGAAATGAGGGGCGACATGAAGTCCTTATTTTGTAAAGTGAGTTTGAGGTAAACTTGTTTGTAGCAGTAGCGTTATGCTAGCACGCCAGTGTATCGTGTGTCATGTTGCGGTGGTGGGTTTGTAAATGTGGGTCATATAGCAGCAGTTATATTGTAAGATTTTGTGTCCATCAGCGAACATGTCTCACAGAACAATCTCAGACCATTTTTGATAGACAACCGAAGATTTCACCATCTTTCTCTCAAATTTGTCAGATTTTGTCTGGGAGCCTAAAATCACCTTTATTCAATTGTACTGGGGCGTTCCACGGTGTCACTGTGTCCTTGTGAGAAGATTAAAATTGGTCTGTTGTCATGGTTCTGTGTTCAAACTCTCTGATTGTAAGAGCTGAGCTTGATATTTCATTCTTGACTTTGGAAACAGCAGCTGACAA